AGGTTTAGGGTTAGGGTTAGGTTAAGGGTTAGGTTTAGGGTTAGGGTTAGGTTAAGGGTTAGGTTTAGGGTTAGGTTAAGGGTTAGGGTTAGGTTTAGGGTTAGGTTTGGGGGGGTTAGGGGAAGGTTTTAGCTTTATTTTTACATTTTTCGATCTTTTTCGATCTTTTTCGTCGCACTGTGATGACGTCACATACGCGCTTTCGTCGACCGCGATTTTGTCGTCCACGGTTTTGTGGTAGAACCGAATGTTATACGTGTAAATTTTCATACAAGAGCCTGTGAATTACAGTGAGGTGGATTAGCAGATATCAAACATAGTTGTCTCGAAATGTAAAGCAGTTGTAGAGAGGGTTAACTGACATGATTTTAATGAGAGTCTCTCCTGCTATTTAGCAATGTTTTAAAAAGAAATAAGACATATCAAAAGGAACTCAAGAATCAAATGAGGCAGGCATGAAATGCTCTTTACTTTTGCTACTGGTTTGGAACTGGGAGTGTGTGCTTCACTTGCACGCACACTTTCTGCGCCGTGACCCGACAAATGTGCGCACGACAAAAGCACGGTGAGAACACCGCGCCGTCATAAACATGCCCACAATAACGCGCTGACAAAACCGCACCCACAAAAGCGCGATTTAAGTTAAGGTGAGGGTAAGGTTCAGGGTTAGGTTTAGGGTTAGGTTTAGGGTTATTAGGTTGTTATTAGTTCTGCGTTGAAGGCACGCTTTTGTCGGTGCGCTGTTGTCGGCGCGCTTCTGCGCTCATTTGTCGGCGCGATTTTCACCTCGCAGTTTTCTCGCCGCGGTTTTGACGGTGCGCTTTTGTCGAGCGCGCACTTGTCGGTGAACCTTTCTGCGCGTGGGCAGAAGGTCCGTGGTGCCATCTGGGCAGGTGGGAGGAGCCTCCCGCCGCCGCCACCCGTCAAGCGGGGTGGCAGAATACCACCTCTGAAATGAGGCTTCTTCCAATAACAACATACTCAGGTTTCAATCCGGTGAAAAAGAAAACTGGCCACTGAGGCTGGTGGCCAAACCACATCATATTGCAACTCTTAAGAAATTCTTGGATTAGGAATCTGTGAATTCCTAGGTAGCCAAAAGAAGACACCGTATTTCGGTGTCATCCATTCCAAGAACAGCGTTGGGTCAATCCAATTGCAAGCTTAACCAGAGGTGGGCTTCACAATCGCTTAACAACCGGTTCGCCTTGTGCAAAACCAAAAATGTGAGTGAGCGTGCACGCCGTCCACGTGGCTTCAAACACACGCCGATTTCATGCACGTGGCTTCCAGCACACTTTGGGCAGCCTCGGTAAGTAGAGCAGACAAGGCACGGAAATCAGCTGAACTGCGTGGGCGGGGTGAGTGAGCCAGAGAGTGAAATATATAGGATGGGATAGCACCGGTGGGGGGGGGGGGGCGCTCAGCTGGTGGTCGGAACTACCGGTATGGACGAACCAATCCGAACCGGCAGCAACCCTTCAAACTGGGAAAAAAAACCATATATGGCACAGCTAAGATTTATTGGGAAGAGAAGGATGGTTTGGAGAAGCAGCCATTTGGAAAATGCAGTCCATATTATTTGGCATTAAATATGAAATTAAGATACTTCTTTTCATCCCCAACAGATCAGATCTGTGCTTCTTTTGCTGGAACCACGTTATGACATTATTCACCTTAAGTGTGTCAAATGAAGAGCATATATGTAAGAGCCGAGGTGGCGCAGTGGTTAAACGCAGGACTGCAGGCTACTTCAGCTGACTGCAGTTCTGCAGTTC